GGGATTACCTCATAACGCTACAAATACGGAAAAAATGGTTCACGGATGGCCCAGAATTTAAAGTTGGCAGCCTAGTCCTACTTGCCGAAGACAATGAACGACCGCTCGAATGGAAAACTGGACGAATCATAGAAGTTTATCCTGGAAATGACTCGATTGTTCGAGTGGTAAAAGTGAAGACCACAACTGGTGAATACATACGCCCAGTCGCGAAGCTGCGGAAGCTACCAGTATAGCAACCAAGTCATATCCAATGTGCAGTTCATTTAAAACAAGAACTTTATTGTGCTAAAAATCGAAAAATATCAAAAATGTGCAGTTTTCAAATTTTCAGTGGTAGTACCCCCATGACCCTTTTGAAAGTAGGAACCTAAATTACCCCCTATGCAATGCTTTATGGTCTGAATCGTTCATATTGACTACTTTCATGTAAATTCCCAATGTTGTATGTTCATAAAAGTCGAAAATGATGTAAATTTTCATCAATTTTTGTGCAAAATCGTTCATTAAAATTCGTATGAGGTTGTACTCTCATGACCCAAAATGTAATTATTGTCTGAAAACAGCTAGGATACGCCTACGCTCCTGTCTTGAATGTAACAATAGGCTCTCTGATCACGTCAAACTGTTAAAATGTTATATTTGCCTTTAAATTATATTCAAAGATGTCGTATTGTAATGATTTACAACCATTAATTCGCATAAAATGTTTTTCTAAGTACACAAACTTTCGCTCACGACTCGTACCGTTAATACTTCACTTGTATACTCCTTACTTATGGTGCAGTCACATTTAGTTCATTTATTGAATAATTGCTTACATATTTACCGTTGAACAGTCATTCGCTGTCATGCGATTCGCTGTCATCTGGTCCTCTTCGCTTGTTGACCCTGCAGTGTTGCTGGCAGCGCTTCCACGCAGATGCTACCAAGGAAAGTCGAGTTTGCATCTCCGCATAGTACATGCAGCAGACCCTCTCTTCGTCGCAGAGAGTCAGAACTGCGTGGCACCACGCATATAGAAGATACAAACTTTTCCCCTTCTCAAGAACACCATAGCGGACCAGTTTCTTCTGCTGAGAACCAAGGTTCCTCAGATACTTAGCAGCATCAGTGAACCCCATCTCCGAATCATTGCTACCGGCCAGGCGCTCAAGTTCACCAGAGAGATTAACTTCAGATGTCATCAGCCACAACTTTCGGCCCCCCAGAAGACACAAAACAGCATCATCTTCCTCATCCAAGTGTTGATGGAAAGTCCGGAAGGACGAGGACTCTACAAAAATACCTTGGAGAAGAGAAGAAAAGACCTGCTTCGGCCATCTGGTCTGACCTCCAGACATGACGCCAATAACACCCTTAGCTGTCACACTAGGAGTCTCTCGACAGTTAACTCCAACCTCCCAGCCAGTGCACAATGACCCTTCTACGCTGAGGTCACTAATACGTTTAAGACCTCTAAGTTGCTTCTAAAACAAAATAAACGATTGATGCACACCCGCTATACTCTACTACTATGATACAATTGAATAAATGCTACTCACAGTCTCAGCTTTCGGAAACCGCAGAACTGCCCTATCCACGATTGCAGCTTCCTTCCTTGAAGACTGGATCTCATCCAACGACTTTACAGGAATCGGAGTGAAACCCAGATCTCCTCTGGTCACTGCATCGAAGAAACCCTGCAGGTCCTCCCGGTCGACAGCGCCCCGCCTACTGGACCTTCGCACCTCGCCATGTGGAGGCAGACGTGGTGCTCTACCCGACTCCGCCCTCTCCTTCGTCTCATACACTGTAAATGGGTAGTCATATCCAGACATAATAACGATCTGAAAATTGAAGACACTTCAAGGGAGGCGGAATGTTGAAGCCTAAAAAAGACATCTCAGCTTTCTACTTGAACTAAATCTACGATTGAACTGATTTACTTATTTAAAACCGCATTTAACAAAAATCAATTGACTTCTATCTATAACTCATGAAATAATTTACACTCTTTGCGAATCACTAGTTTTATTCAGTTGGATTGGTGATTTTTAGTTTCCCAACTTTTGCTGCACAACAGTTACTACGGCCCCGGCAGAACCGTCTGGGGTTATCTTACTACCAAGGTAGCAGAAATCGTTCACATTCTCGACTCCCGCCCCATTTATGTCGATTGTACCGTATTTATCAGCGGTTTTCATGAGCTTCGTTTTCTCGCAGTTTATATGAAGCCCGAGCTTTGCTGCCTCGTCTGACAGGAGAGAGGTCATCTGACTGAGGTTTTATACGAAGTCTGGAATAATGGCGATATCATCGGCGAAGGCAAAGTTTTCAATTGTATACTCTGATGGCCAGATCACAACGTGATTCCACGGTTTTGAGTATATGGTTTACCGCAAGAAGGAAAAGAACAGGTGACAGGGTCCCGTCCTGTCTTACTCCAGTGAAGACGAAGAAACTGTCACTCTCGTCGTTGTAAGCCTTGATCTTACAACTAGTGTGAAGGTACATGTTCACTATGATATCGGTGTTTGCTGTGACATCAGCCTCTCGGAGTAGTCTCCAGAGAGCAAGCCTGTGAATACTGTCAAATGCAGCTGTTAAGTCAACGAAGCAGATGACAGTCGCTCTTCTAAACTCGTGTCGCTGCTCAAGTATTTGATGGAGGCTATAAATCTGATCTATACAGCCTCTAGCCGCCCGAAAACCTGCCTGACTCTCTGGAGGATGATGCTCTCCAGTATTTTGAACGAAATACACAACAAGGAGATCCCCCTGTAGTTTTTGCACATTTTGACGTCGCCCTTATTGTGAAGCGGGATCAGGTGGGAGATGCGCCACTGTTCAGGAATGGGTTCTCCAATCCAGATCTTCTCGAGAATAATCTGTATCTTCTGCGCAAAGGGAAGACCAGGGGGCTTTAAGACCCTCTGCCGGTAAGCCGTCAGGTCTACTGCTTTGTTATTTTTGATTCAATTTATAGCTGTCAAGACTTCCTGGACGGTGTGTGGTTCGTCGATGTCGTCACAGTTACCAGGTGCACTGGTGTCGATATGCACTAGCTCAGAAGGACTAGGACGATTGAGCAGCTCACTGAAGTGACGTACCCACCAGTCCATCCTATGGTTGACGTTTAGGATGGTCTCACCTTGCCCGTCTAGGATCGTCCCAGAGACTGGCTTAGACTTTTTTTGGAACTGTGGTCACGAGCCAATTGAAAGAGTTTCCTGCAAATGCCGTTGGCGGAAGCCCGCTCAAGCTGCTCAGCCAACTCATTCCAGTAGTTTTCGCGGTCCTTCTTGACGCTGCACCGAACCTTGCGTGCCAACTCTCACGCTCTGGAGCTGTCGCCACGGATGCGAACTAGACGCCGCGGAGAGAGATGTCAGAGATTCAGCAGAGAGATGTTGAGCTATTTGGGGAGTTTCTTCTTGGGTACACTCCTCAATTTCAGACCAACGGTAGCGATCACTATTGCGTGGTCTGAATCGACGAAGGTTTCCCAGAACGACCGACATTGGGAGATTGAGTTCATTCATTCAGTGCCGACGACAATATAGTCGATCTGGTTCATGGTCCGTCCGTCAGGTATCCTCTATGTTTGAAGGTGCCTGAGTTTGTGCTGAAAGATGGTGTTACACCAACGGAGATTTCTGGAGGCGGTAAAGTCGTTAAGGGGGTCGCCATTTCGACTGAATGAGTTACCAATGGCAAACCTACCGATGTTTGCGGAGTGATCTGTGGTACACATCTGAGCATTAAAATCTCCCGCAATAATGAGCACATCTCGTGAAGGGGCCTTGTCGCCGAGAGACTCTAAACTCGAGTAGAAAGAGCGAATGTCCTCCTCAATCTGATTCTTGCTAAACGCTAGTTCACTGGCTCCCACTCCATGGCGCATTTGCTGGCTGTGGGCGATACCCACTCCATACAGCCCAGTTTGGTTGTCGGGACCACTATTGTATAGCTTGTAGTTTAATTTGGGGAGGCTAGGATGTTAGTGGTTGTACTCTCCGATGGCTAGTCGTAGCTCCGAGAGGCAGATAGTTTCAAGCTGATACTGGCACATAATCATCGCCAGCATGGTCTGTTGTACAGGCGAGAGCAATGTGCGGACATTTAGGGACCCTACTCTGATGGGGTCAGAGCGCCCTGAGATAGGGGAGATTTCGCAGTTCCTACTTAAACGGGTAGGAGACCTGATGGGTTTCCCACTTAAGCGGGGGGAAAACCTGGCAGCATTCGGAATAGTGTTAGGAGACTTCATGGGTGTCTAGCGGCTGTAATACCTCAAGGACTCGCCAGGGCCAAGGGCCAGAGCTCCGTTGGCCCTGCACTGCTGGCCCCCATACCGCGTCGAGGAGGAGATGGATTTATGGGGTCTAACATAAATCTAACAAGGTCACGGAAAACTTGATTTACTTCTAGTTTGGAAAATGGAGCGAAACAAAAAATTTGTGAATTGATGCAGTTTTTTTTTAATTGGTTATTTATATCAAAGTATCAATCTTAATTTTTTCAGATTTTTCACAGACCAAAATAGTAGTTTTTCACAAACCAAAATAGTAGTTTTTTTGTTTTTCACAAACTAAAATAGTAGTTTTTTCTGTTTACTTGCGTTCATTGACTTTTTTCCCAGCTGTCTGTTGGCTATGTTTATCGTGTATCGTACGCGCAGATTTCAAGACAAGTTATTTGGTTTAATGCGTAAAGACGAGAGGCAAACATATCACTTTGTCTAGAAAAATCAGGGAAAAATTTCAAAATTCTTTCTTTTGCTTCTTATGTAAAAAAAATTTTTGCTTTCCAGAAACAAATTGAGCCTAATTTTCCCAACAAATTAATAAATGGCTGGTATAAAATAGTATTAAAAATCCGCCAAGACTGACAGATATTGTTTTTCTGAAGTGCTAAGAAATTCGAAATGTTATTGCTAAAATTGAGCATTGGCTAAAAAGTCTGTGCTAAAAATAACTGCAATTGGTTTCTATTTTTTCAATTTGCTCTGTTGATAGGGACATTCGGAGTACCAGAGTACGTACAAGTGGAAGGACTCGCTCAAGTCAGCCTCCAATGAGCCGGCCGAAGAGCTATTAGCTCAGGAAGCGGGAAAACCCTCATACTACTTGGCCTGTAAGTATACTTTGTCAGACCTTTGACTACCTCTGAGTCTAATGTTCATCTGGTTGGTTATAAATCTAATCGCCTTGTCAATTGTACTTGAAGTACATCCTCAATTTCGAAAACCCAGGTGGTTTGGTTTTTTGCTACTCCTGTTTTCCCTCTGATTTTCTGCTACTACTCCTTGATTGTTTTGTTTGAACAAGTAAAACGAAAAGTCTTGACTTCAGACACTTTGCAAGAGCCGCCCCTGCAGCACAAGAGGAGGATCACAGACCCCTATGTGACCAATCAGCTGCTGGAGACCACCAATCCGAGAGAGATAGAGGAACTCATCAACGGCTCGCCCAATCCTGCTACTGAAGCCAGGAGACCAAAGGTACATGTGACTTAGGGCGCCATTAATTCAGAATCGATGCTCCAATATATTATAATTATGAGAAAGAGCGCCAGTTGTTTGTTCAAACCTTCCATTATGGGCTTGAAAACACTATTTCTTTTGAAATCGCCTGCGACGCGTAAATTTTCTTTTAATACAGTACTGCTTAAATATCAGAATTATCGATCTAAAAATTGGCATCTATTTTGAAATTAAGTTCAAACCCTCTACCTTCGTTACAGAAACATTTTTGTGTATGTCAGTGATAAGTGTTTTAAGAAATGCTTTTTGTGAAAATTTGTATAATGCCATCAAATAATGAATGTTTTCTACAGACTAGTGTAAAATACTCTGAGCCTGCTGGAGCCAAGACGAAACTCATCGGCCCTGCAGCTGAAACAGCTATGTCTAAAACATATCAAGTGAAAGCTAAACAACCAGCTGTAGCCAATCCAGAAGTGTTGAAAAAGAAATCGTTGCCGTCCAAGCATGATTACAAACTGTCGCCCCCAAAAGCGCCTCGCTTTGAAAAGTCGGCTCAACCAACCGTCGACTATCCGCACGCAAATCCAGAACCCTACTTGGAAGATGCCAAAACGGAAATTGTGAAGTCAAGTTTGGAGAAAGGGTTAGACGATAGCGTCAAAGCCGAAATTAAGATGAAAACTATGGCAGCATCAGTGGTTCCCAAAGTGAAGCCTCGAGTTTCTGAGTACAGTCGCAATTTTCCTAAATGGGATAACTTCTCTCGTTCCAAGCCAACACTAGATGATTCTGAGGTAAAACCAAGTGCTAAAATTAAAATGCGTTGATTACGAAAACACAGTTTTGAAACGAAAAATGCATGTGAAGAACGTCAATTAATTAGTTTGCGTAGTAAAAAATTTGATAAATGAGTGTTCAAGTTTTTTGATTTTGATTAGATTGGCAAAATTTAATATTTTTTTATAGTTTTTTCTAATAGATTTTTCTATATATTTTTTTCTATTTCGCTGTGTTACTAGATTTTGGCTGTTTTGATACAGGTGGTGTTCAAGTCGCACGCTGGTATTCCGCCATATGCCAGCGACTACATTCAGAGATCCAGTTCGTACCAGAGGGAGTTCAAGGACTGGAGCAGAAGTGCCTCTCTGGCCAGGAGCAGAAGTCTCGCGGCCAGACCTCAGAGGGCCAGGGATGACATTACAGTATGTGCCAGTGATAAGAGTAAATAGTTGGATTGATTGAGTGTTCGCTACATATTTAGACAAGCACAGTGCAATTTTTTTTGAAGCAAATATTTTCCTCTGCTTGACTTACTGGTCCGCACATTCGATTGCAACTGGAGAGTTGAGGTTGCTGGATTTCAATTAGAATGCAACACAAGCTATATCTGCTTATTTTTAGTGCATTTTTTTCTGCAAATCTATTTTACGCTAGCCAAATGTTTTTGGCAATGGGAGGTTTATAGTGAAAAAAAACGTAGTGAAAAAAAAAGGTGTTTCGTAGTTATCAAAGATACATGCTCGATTCCTGACGACGGCGTATATGATAATTTTTAAGTTATTCCTTTTCTTTTGGTGGGTTATTTTTGCACTCTGATTCTGCTTAGCTTATTCTCAAGAGCAACTGATTTGAAACAGTGAATTTAATTTTCTGTTCTACAGCTAAAAGGAAATACTTAGTATATAAGTGTGGTGCTTTTTTACTCGCCTGTTTCGCTCATCTGCTTGGATAATTCCTGCGTCGTTGTCATCTAAAAGAGCCAAGCCTACTAGAAAACTAAAATTAGTTAGGAAATCCAATGCCTTCTCAGGTAAGGATTTGAAAACTCTATTGCGCAATTCAGTCTTTTTCTCGTTTTCGGTCGGGCCCTGCGTACTGATTTGCAATTGCCGCAAAGCTTGTTTGAGATCATTTCGCGCAGCTTCAGCAAGATTTGAAAAGAATTTGATTTTTTTTAAAATTGTAACATAGCTACTCTTTCCCTTTTTCGGCCTGGCTGGCGTTTTTGTTTGGTTCATACGAAATTTTATCGAAAAGTAAAAGAAACTTCGGAGTCGAAACTAATTTCGCTGTAACAATTGCTGTTCATTTGTTCTGTAGGATTTTGATCTATTTGAAGGTTAATGCACTAAATAATTGAAAACTGTCGTTCTAAAACGACCGATGCCTTAAGAGGCAATCATTTTTATTTCGAGAATAGGCAGACTAGTTTGAATTTTGCGCGCTTTAGGTCTGCTTACTGTGCTAAAGAGATACTATCAGTAATGACGATAAAGGTTACAGAGGACTGTAACTTTGATAAGCCGAAGTTGTGGGCCTCAAGTTTAACGACAACTTAGGACCAGATAAAACAGCAACAACACAATTGACTTCTTTGAGTTTTTTAACAGGAAAAGAGGCTTAGGTTGTGGGCATTCTATTCACAGTAAGTTTTGACCAAATGAGACCGCAGTGCCACCCTTAGCTCTTTCAGTTAATTTGTCGCAGTGGAATTAGTCATGTGAATTTGTCAAAAACGCATCAAATTTTGTGAACCTTCTCTTTATTTTGCTAACGTTTTTTGGTATTGTCAGATAATTATGATTGCTTCAATCGCCAGAGTATTCATATTGAAGTTTGAAATACCAATTGCCTAAGTTTAAACCGCATGCTAGTCCGTTAGTGGGATCGGAATTATACTATTTGCTGAGTTTTTACCGCTTGTTTTTTGAAAATTGATGGTTTGATTCTTTCACAAGTGAACTGTTGAGTTGAAGAAGCCAAAGAAACATTAGGGAAGTTTTGATACTTTTCCCCAGCCAGTTTATCAGATGAGCAGTACAAAGCTATTCATAATATTTAAATGACGTTAAGACAAGCCTTAGTAGAAAAGGTGAATCATGCTACTGTTATACTCTGTCGAGGTAGAAGAGTTATCTGGTACAACCTTTCGTGAGATGAGTTTCGCTACTGCATAAATTCCAAAGCAACAAACTTGTTTTTAACCAGCCAGCCCAGCTCTTTTGGACAGTCTCAGGTCGTTCCTGATCAGAGAGTTGTTTTGGTTCTTGGTCTTTAGATTCAGAAATATCTTCATGATCATCTTGGTAGTATTCATTAAAATATGATCCGCCTGGTGACCGAGTTTCGATTGATCGTTTTCTTCCTCAGCATCATTTTAATTTTCTCCAATTCTGCGATGCTGGTGTCGAGATTATATCTATCGTTTTGTTTTGCGTCGAAGTTTTGACTGCTCTCTCCGTGGCCAGCTTATGTCGAATTTGCAGAGAGATGCCACATTTCGCCCTTGCAACTGCTAGCACTTTTTTTTGAATGGCGGAGATTGCACAAATCGTCTTCTCGTCTTTTGCAATTCTGTCAACTTGAATTCATCTGCAAATAATTGAGCAGAGGCCTTCAACTGTAATGTTTTTGTGTTCTCGGATAAAAATCTTTTTTGTACTTTTAGGGCATTCCACCAATGACTTGCTCTTTTACTCGCCTGTTCCGCTCATCTGCTCGGTTAATTCCTGCGTTGTTGTCATCTTAAAGAGCCAAGCTTGCTAGGTAATTCAATTCAGTTAGGAAATCCAATGCCTTCTCAGTTTAGGATTTAAAACTTCTATTGCGCAATTCAGTTTTTTTCTCGGATTCGGTCGTGCTCTGCGTACTGATTTTGCAATTGCTCCGAAGCCTGTTCGAGATCATTTTGCGCAACTTCATCAATGTTTGAACAGAAGTTTTGAACAGATTTTGACTAATTAAATGGTTAGATAGTCAGCTACTCTTTGTCAGTCTGGCTTGCGTTTTTGTCTGGTTCATACAAAACTTCTCATTTGTTCTGTAGGATTTTGATCTATTTGAAGGTTAATGCACTAGATAATCGAAAACTGACGTTTTAAAACGACCGATGCCTCAAGAGGCAATTATTTTTAAGAATAGGCAGACTAATTTGAATTTTGCGTTGACGGTCTACTTACTGTGCTAAAGAGATGCTATCAGTATTGACGATAAAGGTTACAGATGACTGTAACTTTGATAAGCCGAAGTTGTGGGCCTTCAGTTTAACGACAACTTAGGACCGGGTGAAACAGCAACAACACAATTGACTTCTTTTGAGTTTTTATAACAGGAAAAGAGGCTGAGTTGTGGGCATTCTATTCAAAGGTAATTTTTGACCAAATGAAACCGCAGTAACACAATTAGCTTTTTCAGCAATGTTTAAAGGTTTTCGTAATAATTTAATGGCGATAAGTTAAGCTTTAGTAGAAAATAAGTATCGTGCTTCTGTTATTCCCTCAGTTTAGGTAGAAAATATATCTTGTACAAATTTTAGCGAGATGAGTTTCGCTACTGCATATTTTGCAAAACAACGGACTTCTATTCAACCAGCCAGCCCAGCTATTTTGGACCGTGTCAGCTCGTTCCTGATCGGAGAACTGATTGGATTCTGGTCTTCAGATTCAGAAATATCTTACTGATTATCTTGACAGTAGTCTGTATAATAATAATCCGCCTGCTGATCGATTTTTGACGGATCGCTTTCGTCCTCATCATCAGTGTGATACTCTCAAATTCTGCGATGCTGGTATCGAGTTTTTATCTATTGTTTGAATATGCGTCGAAGTTTTAACTGCTTTCTGCGTAACAATTATGTGATGAATTTGCAGAGATATGCCAAATTTTCTTGTCTTCCTTGCTTCGGCTAGCCTTAATTTGAATTACGGAGGTTGCACAGTTTATCTTCTCGTCATTTGCGATTCTGTTGGATTCGTTTGCAAATAATTGAGCAGAGGTCTTGAATTTTAACATGTTGGTTTTCTTGAAGCAAACTTTTCTTGTTTTTGTTGGGAATTCCGCCAGTGAGTTACTCTTTTACTCGCCTGTTTCGCTCATCTGCTCGGATTTTTCCTGCGTTGCTGTCATCTAAAGTAGCCAAGCTTGCTAGACGATTCAAATTAGTTAGGAAATGCAATACCTCCTCATTTGAGGATTTGATAATTCTTTTGCGCATTTCAAAGTCATTTTCTCGGATTCAGTCGGGCTTTGCGTACCGATTGTGCAATTGCTCCAAAGCTTGTTCGAGATCATTTCGCGCAGCTTCATCTAGATGAAAAAACACTCAACTTCATTTCAAATATTGATGAAGCTGCGCGAAATGATCTCGAACAAGCTTTGGAGCAATTGCACAATCGGTACGCAAAGCCCGACTGAATCCGAGAAAATGACTTTGAAATGCGCAAAAGAATTATCAAATCCTCAAATGAGGAGGTATTGCATTTCCTAACTAATTTGAATCGTCTAGCAAGCTTGGCTACTTTAGATGACAGCAACGCAGGAAAAATCCGAGCAGATGAGCGAAACAGGCGAGTAAAAGAGTAACTTACTGCGCATCCGCAACAACATCCGCAAGCTTAATATTTACATCTTCATCTAGATGAAAAAACACTCAACTTCATTTCAAATATTGATGAAGATGTAAATATTAAGCTTGCGGATGTTGTGCTTCTGGTATGCGGAACACAGTGATGCCAGCTCGTAAAGTTCCTTGGAACTTTAACCAATCTTCTTTTTTTCTCCAGTAAACGCTAAGCTAGAATCACAAGGTGAGGTGGTGCTGCCATAAAAAACCGTCGATAACAGCTATAGAGAGTATTCCAGGTTGCAGTCAAGTTGTTTGTCTCTTTTTTTGATGGTGGAGCAGTTATGAGATTATTAAAGGTCTTCAAAGAGGGAATGTTTTCAATTTTGATTGTAATTGAAATTTGATGTTGGGTTTTGTTGTGAAGTTTGAAATTTTTAATTGTAGAGGGATATTTTTTTTGAAGTCCAAATGTAAATCTTCAAATTTATAAAACTCAAAAACCAAAACGAATATCATTCTAGCAATATAAAGGCTGGTAGCAACTCAGAAGAGTAGTCGGTTGCAATTTTTTGCTTGAAAGCTGTTCTACAAGTTGTGTGATAATTTCAAGCTGCCTTAGCGATAACATTTAAGATAGGTAGTAATTTGCAGAAAAACGCCACCATCTCAGTCATAATTTGATAACTCTTTTGATTTTATTTAACTTTTTTGATGGGTAATATTTGCGCTCTGGTTCTGCTTTTACTCATTCTCAAGAGCAATTGATTTGAAACCGTGAATTTATTGTTCTGTTCTACAGCTAAATTTCTGTAATTACTTTAAATTGCAGTAGAAAAAAAAGGATTTATATCATTTAGTATCATATCTAAGTTATTGTGAGCCACGGAAACATTCAGACAACGGAAAAAATTAGAACTGTTGATTTGGACACTGACAATTGTATTATGATTTTATGAATACGAATCAACAATGAGAGGGATTTAGTTTGATTAACTCTTTCGATGACCTACGATTGTTTTTTGAGTTTCTTGATTTTGCATGAAAGAAAACCCATTCCTAAGGTTATTTGTCCTACCCTCAGGACAAAAAAATATACAATACGCATTCATTAAAAGCATTCAACTTCCTTTTGTAGTCTCTGACCTTTAATCTATCGTTTTTAAAGGTATTGTAGGTATCGTTTAAAGGTATCGTTTATAGATTAAAGGTTTTTAAATTGTTGTCGGATTTTTCGAATTGTCGGAACTTTTTCATATATTTTCATCGGACAATGCAAAAATGAGCACAAAAGTGTAGTCGGCAATTTTCTTACTCTTTTGGATACTTGTTATTGCTTTTTGAAGTTTTGCGGTGTTTTTATTGAATACAGACGGTAGTGCCGGAGGAACTTTGGATTCAAGTGTTATCATGTAACACTAATAAATGGTCCATTTGGGTGAATAATTTAATATCAGCGGGCCTAGGGCAACATACCGACAAGCAGGGCGGATTTTTTCGGAGGGACGCCCCCTCGTCCCTCAGGTATTCGGCCCCCTGCCGACTCAAAGTGTCCCCTTTTGGTATTTTTAAGCTGACCGACCCTAAAATTTGTCTAAAGGCGCCTTTGGCGCCAATATAATTTAATTTTGAGGGTGAGCGCGCGCCAAAAGTTTTGAGGGGGAGCGCGCGCCAAAAAAACGCGTTTTTCACAAAATGCCCAAAAACGGCTTTTCTACCTGTTTTTTCAAAAGTTTGGCTAATTATTTTTTGTCTAAATAGCGTCTGCTAGTGTTCTGTGATTGCTTGGAAATACAATTTGGTCGAGCTAAAAAGAGTCGATAATAATTCGCATCTGCCCTCGAAAAAAATTCTGCATCTGCCCATGCCAACAAGACTTAAAGCAAAGCAGTTTTTAGGCCGAAATTTATATTTTTTGATTGCGTGGCTATCAATATGGCAGCCAATTTTTTTTGACAGCCAAAATTACTATCATTTACTTTTTATGATGGTTACAAACGTTTGGTCCATTACACAGGTATCTTCTGATCTATAGGCTTCTCGGCCTCTGTCAACCAGCTCCTTCTGTGGACGTCCAATCCATTACAATATTTTTAACACTAAAATCTGATTAAATCTATATAAAGCCCACCAATATATGTGCTTTGAACCCATGTGCTTTCAATTTTTACGCTTCCGTCTGGCAAGTTTTATCAAAAAGGAATGAAGACTTTTTCAGGTTAAAAACTTGGTTAACAAAATCATTTGATAGCTAGATTTATAATCAATTCAATTTTGTTAGCTTCTTCGGCGTTTTTAGCCTTGAGGTAATGACTACTCCTGGGATAGCAAAGGTCCCAGGTTCGAAACTGTTCAGGACCTGTTTTTCAATTTGAAAATTTCCCGTTTCAAGAAATTGTACGTCTATCGTCTGTCTCTCTATGTTTTGTCTGCCCCATTACAGACTTTTCTTGTTCACTGAGAATTTTCATATTCGTCCAAAAGGTTCATTCGGCCTGTATTGTTTCTACTTATGTTATATCGGCTTAGCGTACATCTAACATTACTTTCGGCTTCTTGAATTACTTGTATGTCGACGTGAAGTAAAAAAAAACAGTCTTCTTCTTTTTCGTGTTTCTGGAGGGGGCATCAAATCAGAGTATCAGTACTTTATAGCTCAAAGTTCTTATGACAACAACTTGGTTTTTGGCTCAATGGGTGTTCACCCAATTTTTGTCGACTTAAGTTTCCTCTTGATGAAGGTTTCTTAATACTAATTAAGCCCAGTAATACTAATTAAGTCCAGTATACAGCACGGTAGCAACCAGCGGTGTCTTATTTAGTGTAAATAATTCATTTTCTCTTTTTAATTAATTTTCTTGTCCGTTTTTTTGCTATCTATTTCTATTTCTCAAGGCCTCACTGTATTCTGTAATTGTTCCATTTAACATCTTTGCGATAATCGAATTTTCAGACTTAATTCAATATGATTCATTTCAGTATGATTCATTTCAATATGTCACTAAAGATCTCTGTGGCCGAATTGTCCAATAGACTGTCCAAGTGTTTTACTCTGAAGCAGCAAATCTCGTATTTTCTTGATTTTTAAAGCTCTTTTGACACTTTTGTTTTTGTGCTTGAGAAGTACAGCCTCGCCTGTATTGAAATTTGGTCTTAAATTGATCTTATAAGGCACTAGTGTGTAGAACTAGTGAAACTATTGAGCACACATTGGGAAAAACTAATTTTAAGTCATTGGTAAAAAATGAGTAATGCAATTTGTTGAGAAATTTATCAGCGTTTTTAAATTTTTGAGTAAAATTACTGTCTGCCGAATGAAATTTTTCATGCTTATGTTGTTAAGGTAGCTGCAAAGTCTGCTTCGAGCAAAAATAACAAGGAGTTCCAAGATGTCAGATTGACTGAATCTACCACTAAACATCTGCCCCCACAGGTTCCCCAGTTTCCAATGAGGTAAATGCGACTTGTTGTTTAAAGCGTCCTGTACCGGCCAAAAACTAGAAGTGATTTTTTAGATTCTACTTTTAAACTTGCTCAGTTAGAAATTTTATTTCTCGATGAGAACTTTCTCTCATGATTCTAGTGTAATCTTTTCATGTTTAGAAAACTTCGAACTACGTATAATTCGAGCTTCAAGGATATAACCAGAGCTGAACTCTCCAAAACTGCGCCGGTTGTAAGTGATAATATTGAAAACTTAGAATGTTGCTTCAATTGTAGGTTAATTTGAACTGAGCTTAAGGGTCGAAGTGGACAGATTGATGCTTTTAGTAGTATTGTAATCCGCCGTTTGTCCTGAGGGGGGTCATTCCTAAAGGGGGGGTGTCAAAAAGGTCCTAAAACCTAAGTGAGGGGTCCTAAATTCTTAGGACCCCTCACTTAGGTTTTGAGACCTTTTTGACCCCCTTAGGAATGACTCCCCACCAAAGGACACACGGCGGATTACAGTTGAAGACCCCCAATTTTTAGGGGTCCGCCAGTATAGGGGTCCGCCTCAGATCCAAGGGCAAGGATTTTGCATTTTTCCCAGCGCTTTGCCCACTATCACCGAAAAGTGCTGGTATCCTAATTTTAGGATCCAAAAATTTTTTTTTGGCCTCCCAACTAGGATTTTACCAAACAGTCGCAAAATGCTGGTTCCTTGGCGGAAATTAATTTTTTGGATCTTTTCGTTTGTCTCGAAAAATTTTCTACCGTCACTTTGAACGTACGAATAAAAATTGAAATGCATGTTCATTCTCACTCACCGCCGTCACTAACACCCTTCTTTTTTAACATCAGATACTGAAATGTTGAATAATAAAATAGATAAAATGAGTTTAATAGGAAAGTGGCACACTGAGGATATTGATCAAGAAAATTTAACTTTCTCAGTTTTTTCAACTGGTGTCAGATCAAAAAGTAGTAAAATTCACCGTCGTCATAAAGTTCTCATCTCGAGGTTTGCTGAAATAGCAAAAAAAAAGAATATGCTCAAAGTTGTAAACAGCTGTTTTATTTGAATGACTTCTCCAAATAACGTGGTGCTTTTATACAAAACAGAAAAAGTAATCATTGCTACTTATGAAAACTGATTTAATTACTCATTCGATTTTGACTCTATGATGATTGAGAAAGGGGTGGAGCGAATGATTCGACTTTGTTTTGATAAATTTTCAAAATATCAATAACTTCCAGTGATCTATCTTAATATCTACCACCGAGATATAGGACTGAGTAAGTGGTATCTGCAAGGTCACTTTCACTTCCACTGGCTTGAATTTCATCAGGTCCGCTAGTTGTTGGAAAAAAATACAATTAAATTGGAAAAACCTAGAGTTACTTCAACGGACATGGAAATCATTCACGAGATTTATTTGACTATGAAAAAAACCTACCCGGAAAACTCTGACCGCCGTAATTATTTTCTAGCTACATGTTCTCTGTTTTTCTTTTCTTGTAAAAATGATATTAACTATGATGTTCCCATTAAACTTAGACCATATGGAGGTCTTATTGGCATAGACAATTCTTCATTGGACGAATACCTGATTGATTCAAAAATATTACGACTGCGTGCAATTTTACACGATGCCGCGGGATTTGTCCACGAAGTTTTTAACACAGGTCCCATCTACTGTTATATGCTACCCTGGAAATGTAACAACAGCCTGATTGGTCACTTGAGTGGTATTACGTTCTATTTATTTGTTAAACTGACAATTCTCTATCAATTGTTAGAATGTTGAAGGAAAAATCGATCGTGCTAGACTTAGAAGGATTCCGTTGTAGGAAAAATAATTTTATAGTTAAAGAACTAGCCATTACAACTTCTGATTACAGTGATTTTCTTATTTTTCTACCTCCAGCCAGTTTCAATTCACTTCCTAAATCTGAACAAAAAGCATACAGCTGGTTGACAAATAACTTGCGCGGAATCCACTGGGTAATCGGTGATTATTTATTTTCAAACCTCAATCAGATTATTCAAAGTTTTGTTTTGAGAAACTCTAACGCCATCTTTTACGCTAAAGGAAAAGAAAAGGCTGATCTTCTGGCAAAGTATTTGGATCGAAAAGTTGTGAACCTTGATGAATTGGGTTGCTTGAGAATACAGAGTTATCCAGCTTGCAATAGATATTCACATCATAACCACTCCAGGAATCACTGCGCCCTGAAGAAAAGCAAGGCGTTTTTTGATTGGCTGAAGAATGAGCAACAGCGAGAGTCTAACGATGTTGGAGACGTACCTATCTCCAAATTCAGTGTTATGTGCTTGGATGAATCCAGAGAGCGACATCAAATTATCATTAACAAGAGTAGAACTAATCGATTGCCGAGGTCAATTGGTGCAGCGAAAAGAACAAATCACTTTATCTGAAGAAGAGTTAACTACTTTGAGAAGGTTTTTCCCGGTGATTGACCAATTCATATACTTTCAACGGTTCAAGTTTCTTCAAAATATTAGCCGGCAAACGAGGAGTTTATCTTCCCAAGCTAGTCTTAGTACTCAAACGTCAGCCCGGAGTTCAAATGGACTTCAGCAGCAGTGATTTACCTGTAGAAGTTCAGAAATTAGAAAAAGAAAACTCAGTGAAGAAAATCATTTTATGTGAAAACTAAAAATGTCCCAGCCAATTATGTAGTGGAAATGTATGACAATGAAAATGATACTACTAAAGTTTACACTGGTTATACTCGATACGAGATTTTTTACTGTTTAGAAAAAATAATAAATTTCATAACCACACATTTTTCTTCCTCAATAAGAAACGGTTGATATAGATAGATAGTCAGAGAGAGAGAGAAAAAAAATTGAAAACGTGAATGTGTGAAATATCAGATGATGAGCCTGATGCAAGTATAGTTACTGACTTTGTTTATGATCCAAATAACACCGAACAAAAGTCTTGGAAATTTTGTTTTGATGCCAATGTTCCCAGATCAGAAGTAGTTTTTATGTCCCAACTGATTATAATTTTATTTTTACTAAGCTTTTGTATCTATAAACTTTCTTTGACGCAAGTAATCTGTGAAGAAACATCAGTTTGGTTTTCCATATTGTCTGGATTAGTTGGGTACGTGCTACCAAACGCAAGGATATGAATAAAATTATTGATACGTCGACAAGACTGTTTTTGGCAGTTGTAGGACCTTCGGTATCAGGAAAAACAGAATTAATTTTCAATTTTTTGAAAGGGAGAACTTTTTATCTCAAATTTGGAAAAGTATTTTTTTTACAAAGATATTCAATCTATACTTAAGGACGAGTTGAACGCTCGCAGATTTCGATTAGAATTTGTCAACTTTGATGGATTCGATCGTTTGAGAAACATTGAAAACATTCTGTTAGTGTTTGATGACTCATGCGAAGAAATATACATTGATAAAGAATTCGTTTAACTAGCAACAGCAGGAAGACACAAAGGCTTAGATGTTATTTATGTCAAACATAATTTATTCCAACAAAGTCGATGGTCACGAACTTTTGATTTGAACACATCTCACATCATTTTATTCAAATCATCTCGTGATATTCAGCAACTTGATCACCTCGGAAGACAACTTAGTGCACCTAAATTTTTACGGCAATCGTATGAACTGGCTACAAAAGACAGCTTTGGACATCTATTAATAGATTTTGAACCCCGAACATCAGACTGTCTCAGATACTGTTCAAACATAATACCACCTGGTCCGTCAATTTTCTATTTACCATTAGATAAGGCAGAAGTGACACCCATCACAAATGAACGCGAAAAAAATTCTGCAGCACAGGGTACAATTGAATCCAACTAAGTCAGCTACGGAGCTTTATTGGAAAATCATCAAATACTCAAGTTATATCAGTCGTTTGCGAATGCTTGCTCAATGTAGTCAACGGTAATGTGCCTGTTAGTTTTCCAAATCTTAATAATTTCGAAGAAACATATAAGATTCTAATCCATGCAAAAACGAGTCTCGAAAAAAAATCAGCTGTTATATTGAGTATACAAGGATTTTATCTAATCAGACATATACTTTATTTTTGCTTCAAGTATTTGACAGCAGGAAAATGACAGCACAAGAGTTTGTTCTGATTCCGAAGCATATTTATATTAGAGAACAAACCCATGCAGCGCAAATTTTGCTTGAAAACTCAATCAAACATAAAAAAAACCGCAACTATCATACTTGAATCGATTAAGACCCCTAAAAGCAACCACAACAACTAATTCTCCAGTTATACCAACCCCCGAAACACTTATCAATGCCACAATCAACAAGAACAAGCTCTCCTTCTCTCTGAAGATGAGGGAAATGAGCTGGAAACAAGTACTGAGCTTAATGATGCTTTATCCACTGAACGTATTACGTTACAATTACAACTCATGGACGAAAACAAACCTAAGCTAGCAAAAAAAAGTTCTGGAATTTATTAAAAAGTCAGAATGAGTCACAATAAACAAAGAAATTGAAGAGCTTTACGTTGATAAAGGTCCAACCGGTCTTAAGGCATCAGTTTTTTGTATGATATACAACAGCAAACTAAAAAGTTATACAACCCTGCGTTCATACTGATTTTGAGGTCTCTCAAACTTGACGAACAGTTGGTTATGAACAAGTATGCGAAAGTCGCGGTTCAGTCTCCTTTCTCCCAAGAAACCGTCGTCAACGAGTTCCAGCTCAAATAGCATTAAAAGACGCAAAACCAGAAGGACTGTTGCAGACAGGGAAAGAGAATGGTCAGCGCAAAAAACCAAACGAGAAGAAGGCGCAGAAGAAGAAGACTCTGAATTGTACGGAACGCCCGATAACGATTCAGATTCTGCAACGACAGAGAAGACGAAGACAAAAACAAAAAAATGGCAAGATTACACCAGCTGAAGAAAAACTATTGAAAACTAAATTTACAAGTAAAGGTCCAGCATTTTCTGGCGGTATACAGAATTTAAAAGAGGAATAAAAAAATTCGCGTAGTAAAAAAAAACATTTTTTACATACAGAGCCTGCATACACAAAATATCGAACAGTTCGTCGCAAAACACCACGCCTCAATGTGATAGTTTATGACATAGACGAAATATGGTCAATTGACCTAGCGTAGGTTGATAAACTTGCAGATTACAACAAGACCATTAAATATCTTATGGTTGCAGTGGATTGCATGTCCCGCTATCTAAGTGTACAGCCATTGAAATCAAAGTATGCTACCTC